ACTTACAATAACCTTCACAAGAAGGACAACAAAAACACTGAGTCTGTGGCTGAATTAAGCAGGTACTTCATTTTAGATATCTTGATATTTGCTGGTACATGAACCAGAAACATCAGGTAATGAAAGAAAAGAGGAAATATATAAATTGCAGCACTAGTTATTTCAGGTTTGAGAGGCTATAACTTTTATGAAGTTCTATAATAACCACAGTAAAAAGTATGAATTGGTATTTGCTGGAATATACCCCAGATTCATACATCTTTTAATCTGTCTAGCTATTTAGAAGGCCCTCTGCACCACTATAGTTGCATTTCTCAGAAACATTAATTGATTTTATCTTCTCAACCTTCCTGTGAGGTAAGAAAATATAATCTCCATTTTGCAAATGATGAACTAAGAAAGTATGTGACCTAAATGACTGAAGCAGAAGGAAAATCTAGGTTTAAGGCAAAAATTGATCCAGGCAATCTGAGACCATCCTCCAGCAAGAGGACATGCTGTACAGGACATGTCCTGCACCTGCAGTGTCACTTTCCCCCATGTCTCCATTTAGGCTGGGTCATCTCTTCAGGGCAGCCTTAGACCTGCCCTGGCTTTTCACTGACCCTCCTGGAACTGTATTTCACATTGCTCCTTGGAGTCAAATTGGCTTGGGTCAGGCTGTTTCCACATGTAGGTAGGAAGTATTACATGCTGCCATTTGTGCAGGCTTCTCCAGGTGTCTTTAACTAGCTCGTTCCAACACCCATAGCCATGTAGCCACACTACCATGGAATGCCAATGGATGGAGACTGCTTTGAAATACACCCCTAGTAGTGCCTGTGTTAATGAACTGCAGTTATGATAACGTATATGCCCTCAAAAATAATTTTTAGTGAGGGAGCTGAAACTGTAGTGAATGAGGCTTAGATGCATTATCAACTGTGCAACAAATTGATAAGGAGGGTTTTTGCAGTGACCGGGCAGTTCCACAGCTGTGATGGTGGCAGAGGAGGTCACTAATTTAATTCTCTATCCTTACTACACCCCTCAGCTAGCACACCATGACCAATATTGCTTTACATCACTCTGTGTCAACTGTAGCCTGATTCTCTGGCATGTTCTTCCCCACGCAAACCCTGCAGTTCCCCTCAGAGGGCTTTTCCAACACAGCTGCTATCTATCTTGGTCTCTAATCTGTGCTATAATGCAGGCCCATTTTCCAGGCAGTGTTTACTGAAAACACAGGAGCGTGCCTGGCTCCCTTAGCCATACCTCCTCCGACCCTCCCACTCCCTGGCAGGCAGCACGGCTGTGGAGGTCAGGCTGCAGGACTCTCCTCCTGCCGTTGAGAGAACAGGGAGTAAAATCAGCAACCTGTAAGCCCATTAATCCTGACAGGTTTGTGGTTGCTCCATGTGAGGTTCAGAGAGTTCACTGTGCTTACAGCTAGTCAAAGTGGCAGAGAGTAAAGCAAACTAACACAAGTGCAATCCTCATTAGAGATTAAACTGTTACACTGCAGGATAGATTCAGGATAGGAGAATACAGGGCAAGATCAAGGCTTTCAATGAGATTAGTCATTTTAAAATAACATTTCTAAAAAGAGCAGAGAAGAGATAATGAACAAGGTCAAAAACAATAAGGGATAATTATGAGGTTGATGTTACTAACAAATAATAGTGGAGAGCAGAAAGGAAAAAACTCTTACTGTAGTCCTTTGTAATAGGAAATGTACAAACCTTTAATGAAAAAGCACATAAGGAATGTAAACTTCCTTGTATTTGCTGCCGTAGCTTAATTATAGTTAAGATCCATACATTCTGTGATCACTTACACTCATGATTCTGTAAGCATGCACTAAAGTTTGGGGAGTAAAAACCATCTGGTGCTGCCTACATCAATAGTTTTGTCCCCGTTTCCTGACAACCAAGATCATGGCAAATTAATTAGGGACTTTGAATAATTTTTTTCTAAATTTCTTTGCAGCTTGTTATGAACCAATCTACCCCTTCCTATCCTTCTTAACTTGATAGGAGACCTGTCATATTTTAGGGACAGGAAGAGCTATATTATTGTTTTTTCCTTACTGTATGATTAAACCATCAGCTGGTATGACAAATCCCAGCTGGCACCCATCATCAGCATGCGTCTGTACTTGGGCACCCTTTTCTCTAGGAGTTGAAGGGAGCAGAAAGGAAGCAGGTGGAATGCTTTTTTTCTCAACTTGTGAAATGTAGGCTGAAAATCCATGCTTTAAAAGAGGGCTTTTAGGAGCCTACTCTACTCTTGTTAGAGCCAGTGGGAACTCTTTCATGTCAGTGGAAGCAAGACAAGATTTCAAGTTGCATCTTGTGTTCTGCATATTTCCTGTCTCCAGAAATTTGTTATCATTTGTTAGAGATCATGATAGCTGTTAGACTTTTTAGTCAAATAAGACAAATACACCTCCATTCTCTCAGAATAAGATTGCTGAATAAGCTACATACTTACTCAACATACTTACTTCATACTTACTCATTTGGCATAAAGGTTAGCAGTGGTCTCAAAAGGAGACAAAGAACCACAAGAGTCCGGGTGGACAGGAGTCACTCCACAGTCACACATGAATGCCAAGGCTATTTTGCTGTACAGACCTGTTTAATGTCTGGTGTCAATATGCTTGGGCCCTAGCAGGGTATTTTTGCATATGGGGATTTTCTACTAAATTTTCTACACGTGTTTTTTCTACTAAATCTGTCTGGTAAAAACTTAGGAGACAACATATTTTCCTCTTAGCATTTTGTTTTCTTGTCAGCAATTGAGCACAATGAAAAATATTTGTTCCAGAAACAAACAAACAAAAACACCTTAAAATATATGGAACTATTTTCTGACTGTCACAACCTTACTCCTCTTTGTCGTGTTTCTTGGGTCGTAGTTAGAAAACTGACTAGTTTCTTGCCAGGGTTTCAGCTCTACATTGCTTCAGTGAGGGAGTATCACAGCTTTTAGATGTTTTTCTGGCAACAAAGTTAAAAATAAACAACACTGCTGTACTGCATGGGTAAAGGAAAAAATTGATACTCTGCTATAGGTGCTAACAGAAGGCTGTGAGGAATCTGAATGACAGCAACAGTGAAACTTGATATGAAACTCAAGAATATGGGCACTTTTACGTAGAGCAAATGAAATCATTAAATATTGATCAATATTTGTATAAGGAGAACTAAGAAGCGATCTATTGACTAAGATGCATTTTGAAGTGTTAACTGAGAAAAGTTATTTTAAAACAGTTACCTACAAAATCGTATCACTGCTCTGGAAATAAACTAGTTATTCTCAACTCAAAAGCGGTTGCAAAGAGGTTTATTACATGAAAAATGCGTGCTTTTCTGTTCAAAGTATCTTTAGAAGGATGAAATGGTATTCACTTAAGTATTTCACTTGAGGAACAAAGTCTCTAGACTTGATTTCAATAGATAAAAAAAATAAATAGATAGGGATAGAATTATCACTAAAATGCTTAGATCTTGAACAAGGTAGTGGGAGAAAATCCTTTTAGCTTTTTTGTCAGCCTTGATAATATTCACTTTTCTTGCTGTTCTCTTCCATTTCTTCTTCCTCCTTGTAATGAACAACATCTATTTTAGACAGAAGAAATTTGCAGCATGACAGGCAGAACAACCTTCAAACTACCCCACACCTCTGAAGATCAATGGACTGAATAAATGGTCCAGTATTTGTTATTTTGATTTGGCTCAGTTGAACATTGCCCTTTATATCTGTCAATTTCTTGGAAATGAAGAAAACTTGTTATTCAGAACAGGAAATCATAGATACCACCCCAGGAAATGAGGTTATCTTCCACTTGACTCTCAGTATTTCTTTTTCAAGTGGAGCATGAATCATTTGCTGTAGGATGATGAAAATACAGGAAAATACTGAGTGAAGTTGAAAGCAATTTGTAAGAGAGGGTTGAAGTTTTATGGCACTGGAAATGTTAAATGTCTATGCTTGCTCATTAGAGATCACTACATGTAATGAAACTTTTCTGAAGCCCTATAGCATGTGGGACACAGAAGCCCACAGCGGTGGTGCTCACACCAACACCTGGCTGCTCACTCAGTGTGGGCCCAGTCAAGGTGCAGTAGCAAACTCTACCTGGAGAATCCTGCTAGGCCCTACTTCTGTCCCCCCTTCACTTAGTTACAACCCCCCCTAACTTACAGAGTGTAAGAGCTGGATTTTTTTTTTTTCTTTTCTGAAATCAGTTCTCTACTTAGAGAAGTATTTGTTCATCTGAGTGGTGTACCTGATGCACAGGCACGTGGTATACTGATACTGATGCATGTACAGCGTTTATTAGTGCAGGTAGGCAAGGAAGAGTTAAAGGTTTTCATTTCATTTTCTCTGTCTGAAAAGAGTATTACATGAGTATGCTCAGATCTTTTGTATATATATTTTATGATACAGTTTGTGTTTCCCCCTGAGATGTACATTATTTCAATTTTAAGCTTCAAGATGAACACCAGGGAGAGAGTGATTTTAGAGGGGTGAAAAAGGCAGACGAATTGAATTTATATCTTTGCTGTAAAATTTGGTACTTAAAAAAAATCAAACTGTGAAAAATGCCAACAATAGACAGTCTGTTCTGTTATTCAGAGGTAAAAGATAGAAGATAAGCCTCTTGGCAACCAGAAATCCATTTCAGCAGCTTCTGAAGTGTCACAGACTAGTCTGTAAAGACATTTCGTAATAACACTGATAAAGATCATGTAGTATTGAACTGATTTGCAAACATGCAAACACAGACTGAACTTATGTGTGTCATTGTGCATGTGTATTCATGAGGATTTGTGAACAAGTGGAAGGACAGCATTTCAAAAATTCTGTAGTAAAGTAAGAGAGTTCATTGCTCATTAAATTTCTCCTTTTTTTTTTTTTTTTTTTTTTTGGCTATGTTTCCAATTTTCAGCATGTGAAGATAAATGAGATCTTAGCAAAAAAGTTTCTGATTCAACAATATAGCCATTACAGGGGAAAAAAGAAAAAAAAAAAGCAAATAAGTGACGTTTTGAGCTTTGAGGTCTAAGACTTTATAAAGGAAAGGGTACAAAAGACAGTGCAGCAGTCAAGTCAGGAAAATGGCAATGAATTTTCAGTAGTGTGCTTGACTTCCTTTTTAACTGTCAGTGTCTTATTCTGGAATCTGTATCTTATTACTGACTGCTGATTAAATTATTCAGTGGTTATTTGAAAGTTGGCAAACAGATTTTCTCTAAATCTAAACACAATTATCCGTAAGATAGGAGTGGATAGGATGGTGACATGAGATGCTTTCTCATTTAAGCAGTAGCTCCAGTCTACCAAACCTCATACTTTTAAGTTACTGTCTATTCTGCCCTGTTAGAAACATGGTGATTTCACATGTTAATAGTACCTTGGATGTAAGATGTAAATCTACTTCTTAAACTGTGTGTATGTTGGCATTTTTGACAATTTGACTAACTTTTTGAGAGAAGAGTTTGTTCGTAAGGAAACAGGATAAAACAGCCAATAAACAAATATTTTGCTAATAAAGTCTACATTAATTTGTAATGTCTGAAAATGACATTTTTTTTTCCTGGTAACTTTGTTAGGGCCTTATCAACTATGCCTTTTAGGCTGTGACTAGCAGTGAAATCTATGTGATCATCAGCAAGAATAACAAACTACTTGGGCTAGTTTTAATTGAATATTTGTGGCATGTCATAAAATACAGGATAATTAGGATGCTGTTGGTTGGGCAGAATTGAATAATTCTGGCAACACTTGATTAAGCTTTGCAGAAGAGATGAAGGGCTATTGCCACTTAGCACATATGTGATTAATGGAAATAGGAACCCTGGTATGGAAGGAACATCTTGGGCACTGTTTCTGTTGTGAGCTCAGAAGCAGGGTGATAACTTCTACAGTTTAAGGGAAGAAAATCTTTCTCCTGCTTTTCCAGTGTCTTGCATAGGTCCTTTCTGTTTCTGCCTCTTCAGCCCTGGCATCAAATTCAACTGCTAGGTCTTCTTTCAAAAAAAACATTAGTGGAACCAATAATATCTAAGTGACCCTGTTGAAGTCAAGTCTGTGATGTTATATATATATCTGTCAGAATTTTCCTGGAAGAATGTAAATTTACAGTAAATGCAGCACTGAAATCAAAAATACTGTTCTGTAATACATTTCTGCACAGGTCAGCATATTAAGTTGGTACATTATGAAAGCCTGGCAACAGAAATAGTCTTTCTCAGTCTCTTACTCATTTTCCAGGAACATAAATGAAGGTGATTGCATGTTGAATAAAGAATAAAACATTTTTATTCTCATTTCTAGACTCTAAATAATTATTAAATGCAGTACAAAGACTGTAAGTGAATTAGCTTTTCAACCCAGTATTGACCAATAACAGATTCTACTAATGGTGGGAATTGTGTTAATGAGAAGTTTGCAAGAGAAAGATTTATATGCATTCATCATATGCAGGTTTCATAACATGAGATTTTGTGGTATGAATAGAAGCTTTGAGCAAGTTACTAAGAAAATAGAGAGGCTACAGTATGCAAGAATTTCACCATAGAGGAATGAAGATTGTATTCTAGGTCTCAATTTTGAGGTTCTTCTGAATGGCTTATCATGTTGTTCTTGCATGCAAGCTGTAAATTCAGGCGATCATATCTACTCAACATATTCTAACGCATCTTCATAGTTCCACAGTCCCAAGCTACAAAACACTTTTTTTGTTGTACATTGTTTTTTCTTTTTCTGTTTGTTTATGTGTTTGTGTTGTTGTTTTTGGTTTTGTTTTCCCCTTTCTCTGGGTGTCAGCTTGAAATCATCTAATTAGCTTGATCCCTGTTCTGTCTTTGTATAGGAAAGGGAGGAAGGGGAATGTAAAGAAGGCATAATGCTCTGATGCTCTCATGGAGAACACCTTCTACAGAGTCCTAATCTCCAAGGACAAAAGCTGAGAGCATCAAGCCACATCAAGTTAACATGCTTGGCAGTCCTCCTCCATCAGCCATCAGGTAATACGTTTGTATATAGCTATCTGTGATTGAACACATTGGTATGCCTCCTCTGCTTAACTTTATCACATGGCTTATAGATAATGGAGTGGGTGTCTTGTTCAGATAAAGAATACTTTTTCTGTTTTACATCAGTGGGGACTACTCATTGTCCTTGCTAGTGGGAGGAATAACAGATCATTTGCCATGCAATGCATGCAGAGATAGGCAGGACAGGAACTAGGATCCCATTAAATTCTTCAAAGGCTGCCACAGTGCTCGACAGTTTCCAGTTTGAAGCAGCTGTGCTTCAGATCACTCAAATACACAGTATCTAAGAAGCTATAAGGCTTGTGTTTATACTTGAATTCCCCAGAATTCTAGCTAAGAATTGACTGAAATCAGGAAGGATAAGGAATTTATAAATTATTAGCTCGTGTCTTGCTGTTGTCAGACAGTCAAGTTTCTAATAAGTATTGTTAGATGCGTCTCTACCTCTCAGGTTCTCAGGAGTTTACCATACTCCAAACTGAACAATGTTTCTGTCTGGCTTGGCTGTCATCCTGTTTCTTCATAATCTTTAACAAATCCCCGATTATCTATGATATTACCATCTCTCATCAAGAAAGGGCTCCTTTTATAGTTAGAACCTCCCCACAAAACTAATCCCCAGAAGAAACAGTAGTTTCCCTCTATATTCTAGATTCCAGTGGTAAGTTAAGGAGATAAAAACTGGTCTGCAATGCAAAACATATTCAGGCAAAGTATCTGCAGTATTATTTCACTGAAATTCTACAGTGTGGCCGCTTTTGATGACCTACCTTATACCTGTGTCCCTGTGTCTTCTTTAAAAGAATATTCCGTTGACATTGCCAACACTGGCTCATTAAGGTAAGAGGAGATTAATTTCATTTAAAATTAAATTGTTATGAAACCTCAAGGTGAGCTTTATAAAGACAGTATTGTCAGTACGTCCTGGGAAGATGACTGTATCTGCTTTACTTGATGGGAAATAAAAAAATAGGGAAGTCTCTCCTCAGACATAACACAGTGTGTTTGGCTTGAATTTTAAGCAAACTCATACTGCAAGAAAAAATGCAGGCAGCAACTGAAACAGAATCAATGACTTAGCTAAACCATGTACAGCAGCATCTCTTTCATGTTAGAGCAAAACAATGTTAGTACTTGTGTTATAATAAATTGCTGCTTAACAAAGGCAGAAATAACTCATCTCTTTTCAGCTAATTCCTATTCAGCTTCCCCAGGTATAAAACGCTTATTAAAGAAAGTTTAGCAGCTGTACTGTTCTCTGAGGCATGAAAAATCTTGATTAAGGTCTCTATACTGGAGTCAATGAAGCTTGAACCTTGATATACTGGGACACATGGAAGGGACAACCTAGCTTTCCGCTTCACAGTGCCCTGCTGGCTAGTCCTCAGAGGACTGTTTGTTTTGGGCTTTGGAAAGCAGATTGCCAGACCTCCTCTCTATGAGATTGGCATCATTTTATGTCTGCCTATCTGTCTGCAAGGATAAGAGCAGCAGATAAAAAGCTGTGGCCGTGGAGGAAAAAGACAGGATAGTTTAAGCAGCGTTTGAGGCTGGCATTCCTGCTTTGGACAAAAAAGAGGGTGGATGTTTGGGGGGAAAAATCACCTTAATTTTTTTATACTAAGATGTTGGATTTGAGGAAGACCTTTTAGCTGTCCGTTATAGTTGTCATAACTATGTGCCTCAAACTATAATGTAAACCACCACCTGAACTATACTTGAATATGACTGGATTAAAAGTGTTAATGACAGGTAATTAGTGACTGATGCAAGTTGTTTGTGTCAATGATTCAAGTTCTCCTCTGAAAGAAACTGGTGAAAATCTTAATAAGTTATCCTACATAGGTCTTTCATCTGTGTAGCAGGACAAAGTTTAGACTACGTGATTTTTGAGATGGTTTCGTCTCAAGATGAAACATGTTGAGAGAGTGTTTCTTCAGCTGTCATGGTGACTTGAATGACTTTTCCAAGGAGCTGTAAGGAAGTAGTTCAGATACGTGAAGTTCCTGATGCTGATTGTCTTCAGCAGTGCTCTTGAGATCTCTGTTTTCCTGGGGCTGAATCCTCTTAATTTATCTGGGTGGAGGAACATAAGGCTGAGGAAAGAAGATCTGACAGATGCTCTTATAATTATTCTTTGCATTTAATTTTTGCTTTTATATGTTTCTGCAAAGAAACATAGGTATAATGAGGTTTGAATATCATTATGCATCCAAGAGGCATAAAACATACCACAGAGATGGAGTGTTAGCTGCTACACATACAAGGGTATTTCAGTCACAGGATTAACTGAGTTTTGATTGCTGCATTCTTTTAACGTGTTTTCCCTGTATTCCTGGGTATGTTCTACAGGACTTTTATCTAGATCTTAAAAGTGGGGGAAAAGCTTTATGTAGTGTTTGGTTTTTGCATTTGCTCAGTTTTGTTTGTCAGCCCATGAAACAAATGAAAGATACTTAATTGCTTTTTCATTTGTTTTCACTGATTATAAAATGTAAGATTAAAAAATAATAATAATAATAATCCCTATTTCCCTGGAAGAGATTTCATCTGTGCTGTACACCTGGAGCCCCTTTTTGTAACTCCTACTCATCGGCTGCTATTGCAAAATACCTTAGCAAGGAAGGAAAGGATAGCAGGTGGAATGAGGCCACCTGAGCAAAACAGTGATTGGGAGATTATGGTTATAGAATCCAGAATCGTGAAAAAAAAAAAAAAAAAACACCACAACATTTTATATGATTAATGAAGATTAGTTAATGAGTAACTAGCAAAGAACAGTTCACACCTCTGCACTGTGGTTATTTAGATATAATTGGCTTTACTGAGATCACATGGCTATTGCATTTTATTTGTATAACCTTGTCTGATTTACTAAAAATCACTGGGGTGTTTTTACAAGTTTGTTTCTTTTCTTTTTCCCCTTTTATTAAAGCAGAGAGGCTGACTCATTGTTCTTAATCCATCCGCATACAGTCTCTGATGTGCTTGCCACCATCCGTATTTAGGGAAATATCCAGAAACAGTGAGACTACTTCTGTGAGTGTAAATGGCAGCAAATTCAGGCCTTTGGTCTGATCATCATCGTTTCCATTCTGTCTTCTTTCCCTGTAGTTTGCTGTTGTTTTTTTGTGTGTGTGTTTTTTGTGGTTTTTTTTTTTTTTTGCTCTACCAGTTGTTTAATGTTTTGCAAAATCACTGGAATTGAAGAATTGAAACATTTACACTAAAAGTGTAAAGTACTGCAACGCTATTGCTCCCATATAGACAGGTAGTAATATTAAATAGACGTGGCAATAGGTAGATACAATTGGAAATACATGCCACTGTGTTGAAGTGCTATGTTATAAAATAATTCACGTCCTCTCCGGATAAAAGTTTTTTTTTCTGAAAGATTGTAAAGTTTTAGAAGAACCTTGTATCCCCTTTTTTATAGTCACCAACATATGAGCGTGTGTTTTTCCAGGGTTGTATCCAGAAAATGTAGATGGAAAACCAAAAGTTAATAGTTTGCACTAAAAAAAAAAAGCAGCTGTAAAAAGCAGTAGCTTCTTATTTGACATTTCTTTTTCTTCAGTGTCAACAATTCATATCTATTTATGTGAGAAAAACAAGTTATTACTTCAGAAAATGTTATTTAAAGGTGCAGTGCTTGGAGGTGAGCTGGACTTAGTGTTTACTTATTTATCACATACTTTTCAGCTCCATTCTGAATTTCATGGTCTTTGCAGATATCTGAAAAACAGAAATAAAAATTTAAAACTCAAATTACCCAAGGAGCTATGGCAATAGTATAGAAACATTGTGAGAATCAGTAAAATACTGAGGTCAGAACTTTGAATATTGAAAAATACAACATTACTACGGAGAAAGATAAATGCCATGATTTTTAACTTCTTGCTTAAGGCACTTGGTGATTGATTTTCCAACTATCAAACTCATAAAGCATGTCAAATTGTGCATCAAAATTCTTTATGTGGGCAGAATAATCCAATATTTTTAAGTTTTACTACTTAGAGGTACACTAATATTCACTAGTACCAGAGAAAATAGATTTACCTGCTTTAGACAAGCAAATTGAAGCTACAGCAGGCATAGTGATATAATTGCATTAGGGCTTTGCAATGTTTTTGTTAGTGTAAGATCTAATTCACTGACCCTTTTCCACAGGCATATTAAAGCTTTTTTTTTAGGTTACAAACTGGGAACAGAATAGTAGAATTTTTGTGACTTCATATGAAGGAATTTATTTGGTAAAAATCCACGTGGAATAGTTTGGTTTCAGTGGGAAATGCCACAAAATTAGTTTTAAAATTGTTAAGGGATTGCTTTCTAATCACTCAACTATTGTCCTGTGCTAGAGACTGTAAGAACCGAAAAACAAAGAGAATTGGTGTTCTATCATTTGTATTCATCTGGTATATTTTGTTTGCAACCATACAGATCTTAACTCATTCATATAGAAAGAAGAAAAAAAAAAATAAAAATATTTACTAGTATTCTAACAGCTGCAGCTGTCACTGTCTTTAATTTAGTAAATACTGTTGACAATAAACTTACACCCTTTGGGTGAACCTGCAGGATGGAGAAAAGCTGAAAGATGTAACGGGAAGGATAATGAATGTAGAGACTGCACACAAATTCATGTTAACACCCGTCCAAGCTGGACTAGTCCAGTTCTCCCTAGAAATCTCCTGTTTCGGGCTGGAGAATGCAGTATTCACTGGAGAGATACCAACTTAGTTACCAGGCACAATTACCAAGTCCTGAAGAATTTCCCATATATCAGGAAATCTGTTGCCAGGATGTCTAAAATGAGAAACTGAAATATGTCCTCACTCTAAGTGCTGCAGGAACTGCAGGGTACCTGTTAGCACTGTTCTGTTTCGGTGACATCCCACCATGGTTTTCCAGCCCATACTATTCTCTGCTACTGTATTCACCTGTGGACATGGACAGGAGGATATGCAAACAAAACTAGATATAGCAAAGTGACCTGTTCCCAAATAGAGCAGAGTAAAATGAATTTACATGTACCTGGTGTATTTATAACTTGTACTGAATTGATTACAGAGACAAATGGAGACATGTACATCTCTCCTTGGGCTGATTTAACAAAAGAATTCAGAAGCTAGGCTTAGAGGAAAAAGTAATGCTTAATTCATTAGAGTGAATCATATAAAGTATTCTGTAAAGTATCCTGTATTACAGTGTTTTCCATGGCAATTTGTTCTCTGTAGACGAGTACACGCAGACCCCCCAGGGACAACTTGTCATCTCTTTTGTTATACTCATCTCTTAGAATAATTTTCCGTAATTCTGAACCACAAATGATTTGGTCAACAGAAGGGTAGATGCTTCTGTGTAACCGAGTATACAATAAGAGTGGCACAAGGATGATCACTTATTTCATTGGTGCCTCCACTGATCAACCTCAGGGGTTATTTTTTTCTCCAATCCAGGAGATAAAGAAACTCTATATGAATAGTTTTTATCTATTTATGTATTTATTTTTATCAGTAAAATATTTTTGAAGTAGCTTGTACTTTAAGGCTCATTTGGTCTTGGATTGTTACCTCCACAGCTGTATGAACTGCACTTCTCTGATTCACTTTCCTTCCTCAAAATCAGGTTGAAGCTTTATATGGGAGGTTGAGAGAATATGGAGGTAATGATTGTCTACAGTTGTGCAGCTTTGCTAAACAGAACAAACCATATTTGTTAACAGTTTAAGACCTGTTAGCCCATCTAAATAGTGCCACTCTTGCCATCCTACCTTCTGGACAGGTCCTCACAGGCAGGATCTCGTAACCACTGCATGGCACAAGGTAGAGGAAAGGTAAGGTAACGAATCCAGATGTTTGGAACTATAGGTTCAGTCTTGAGCTGTAAGATATTTATCAGAGCAGCATGTGCAGGGTTGCTTATTCTCAAGAGAGAAAGTTACCCCCTGCTAGCCACTAATAATATAACCCCTAGATGAGTAGTGGGGAAAAGAAAAGGCCTGCTTAAGGGCTGATTATATCACTGGTAGCTTGTGCACTTACACACACCCCTTGTTACCTTATAATAAGATGAGCAAATATTTGTGCTAGTGGCCACAAATTTATGAAGAGTATATACAGCATATGCACCTGGAATTCCCTAATGCCTTACAGGCATTCAGTGCATACTGTTTACATTGGTGCTGTGATAGAGCTATGAGTGACAGGAATTTGTAGTGTTGCTGTTCTTACTACTGTTCTGTGAAAGCCAGCAACCAGATCAAGACTGCATTCTTATTTCTTAAAAGCATCCAAGCACCTGTCACATATTTTTTGTACTTATTGCCACAAGTTGAATTTCGAATCAGAAGCCAAATGGATGGTTTCAGATCTTACTTCAATCCGCACTTAAGCATCCAATCTCACAGCAGAAATGTACTGTAGCAAAAAAATCCCCATGCTCAAGGGGATTCTACATTATGTACAGGGTTAACAGGAAAGAGCAGGCCTGATTACTTGTAGTACAGGAGTTGCAGAGCAGCAGAAATATTGTTTTCTTTCAATGATTAATGTACTCAATAAAAGTGTAGCATCTGCTGCCAGTTTTCATTAACAAATAAATGAAAAACAAACCCGCGTGGTAGGCAGTGTGTCTGGGGACAGCTTAAACAGGACTGAGCTGCTTTAGATTTCAGCTATTTTCTTTAGGACAACAGTGTGGAGCACTTTCTTGTTTATAGGATAAACACAAGGGATTGAAGCGATCTGTGTTAGCACACAGGAGTGGTTGCCAACCCATAACATTGTGCAGAATGCAAAAATTCCACAGCTTGCTCCCCTGGGAGTCGCAGGCTATAATCTTCTTGCATGTCGGTTTCAGTGTAAATAACAGTTAAATCATCAGACAGACAAGTTGCCAGTAAAACTTTGAATAAAGTTATTAGTTAGTTCATTTTCCTTCCTTCATAATACAGGTTCAGCAGACTCAGAGCTCAGTGCCTATATTGGTTCAGGGGAAATGCGGTATTCCACACCACATTACTACAGGTAATACACAAACATCAGGCTGAAAATGTCTGCTTTTTTAGCTTCCTCACAACCAAAAACAATGTGTCACTTTATTTTTAGCCTTGTTTCCTATGGAAACGGGGTTTATTTGATCATGGGGTCTTTCTCTTCTACCTTTTATCTTTATAACTTTTTAACCATATTGGTCAGTTCTACCTCCAGCAGGAGAAGGAACCGTGTCTCAACATAGGGGAAGGTCGCAGTGTCTCCAAAGAGACATCACAGAACCCTTGTGAGGACATCATTCCCATGGAAGTTTTGATCAATAGCTGCTGACTGAGGTCATTTTGTGAAACTAAGAAGCTGATCTGTCTCAGCTCTGATATCTCTCAAACTGTCTTCCTTCTTGGAAGTTTGATGTCACTCAAGGGGATATCAGACTGGGCCTGGCTTTGCATCTATGACAAAATCTGAACTGAATCAGTCTCAAGATCTGTAGCAATTGGATTATTGCTTCCAGCATTTCCAGAGAGTTTTAGGCTCCTTTTTAATGAAGTTGTGTTCTTTTAAAAAAATACTCAGGGAATATTTCCTGCAATAATATACTTCAGACACTTGGAAGGCTAACAATCTCCAGAGAAAAGTGGTTGCATATTCGTAAACATATGACTTATTAATTCATAGAGAAAACACACCACAGAGTTGCAAAAATATTTCAGTACTACAAACAAAAGATGCATAACTGTCACAAACTGACAGTGATAGTAGTAGGTAATAGAGCAATCCCTTGCAGTTTATGTGATGAGGAACAGCAATGGCTTGGGAATTAATGTATTTGTTCTAAAACCTAGTGAGTACTCTGAGCTTAATGACAATTCAGAGAAACTAGCTGTACCTTCAACTGTACCTGTGATCTATGCTGAAACCAAGGAAACCTTCCCTATAAATGTTAGATAGGAGACCAATTCATCTGTATTGCTGTTCCCATAAAATCAGCCTCTCCCAAGTATTCTCTCTGCAAAGAGCAGTATGTCTCCAGATAGAACAGAATAAGCTAGATTTCACAAAGGCTAAGTTGACATGCATCAAAAAAAATACTTACCAAATATTTGGGATTGGTTTTACAGTTTTCCAGCCCAGGACTTTAGTGCTTAGTACAAATTTATTACTCATATTACTCGTTCGATCACATACTGAAGAGGATTTCACGTTACCGAGCACAGGATCTGGTCCTTACGTGACGTAATGTATCATCAATATGCAAATGTGATTACTTGCTAATGAACAGACACCCCTCTATACTTCAATTGCATCACAGCTTTTGAACTTGTATTCTTTCTCTGGTGGTTATGTTCCCTGTCTAGCATGAGTCATCAGACTCCTCAGGTATGTACAGAGTGTGCTGTGCAGAATGATGCATTGAGCAGGTGTGGCGAAGGACAGGGCAGTTCAACTAAAAGGAAATTGAAATGTATTTTAAAAGAGAATGTACAAATACTTTAGTGTTTGATTTCCAGGGTGGTGATTAATTGTGAACTGTGAGATAAGAACATACAGGGCAAATAAGAGCAACAGCCGTTTGTTATATCATGTAGTAGATTCTCCTCTGGTTTAAGCTGGCTTTTGGTGGTATGAACCAGAAAGCATGGACTCTGGCAGTGTAAAGAGAAGTGAAAGCCTGAATGCCCCCTGTCTCGTGAATTCTTGGGGTTGGGAAGCTGGACATAGAGGCCACTGATCTCAGCTGCCTGTGCTGGCTGAGATTTTCTGGTTCTCCATGAGTCATTACAAATGCTATCCCTATCGGGTGTGATGGTGAAAAATTAAAATGTGGCCTATCCGCATGAAAGCACAAACTGTAACCATGCTAAAGCTCTTCCTACTCACTTACTTGTACTTGCTTGTGGTAGAGAACAAATCTTGGCTTGCATGTGCATTCTGAGTTCAGGCAATAAGGAATGACTGGATTTAAACCGTGTACTCAAATGTTGGCAATGTGATTTGCAGGCTCAGGTGGTGCTGTGTGTCATCAGATTTTGTCCAGCTTACACCTGAGCTAGCTTAAAGAGCAAAAGAAATTTGGAGCTTTTACCTCTTTCCCTTGGATTTATAAAATTGTACGCATTGGTACAACTTGCAGTCCCAGCTAAAAGCAGTAAAATTTTCTATGTTCCAGGTCATAAATTGGGGTGAGATGGCAGCACTGTGTGATGAGGCTTGCACAATAACCACCCAGCTTATACCTGACTCAATGCTTTGCTATTAATTCCTCACTTCCACAAACAAAATTTACATCCTGTTCTTTTTCCACTCTCTGCTTTAAAAAGAATACCTCCTATTACCTGCCACAAACAGAAATCTCTTTCTAGACAGTATAGAATTCCTCAAGATGTAACGCAGTGAAGCAAGATCATCTCTGAAATGCAGTTATGCATTTCCCCATTACCCAGTGCCTCACACCACTGGAAAATGAAATGGGTTCCTGGCATGAGCATTTCTGCTGTTATCTAACTCTCACTGTATTTCATGTCAATTATTAACATCAGAATGATGATAGAAATCTTAACACATGTTAAGAAACTGGACTCCTACATCATTTTTCTTACTCTATTATTTTGCCCTGTGATCTTTGTTTTGCAGCCTACCTTTCTCCATCTCCCTTTCCAACGTGTTCTCACAACCTGAGTGCTTGGGGCTGAAATATTATTTTCAGACCTTGGAGGACAGGGTGCAAATGCTGTTTGGTATCTTTTCCAGACAAATATGTTGTTCATCATATATATCTTCTGTTCATGACTTAATTTTACCCAATTCTACCACAAGGATTTTCACAGAAGTTAGTGGACACCAGGGAATGGCTAAGCTGAACCCTCAGATCAGAGCATATTTGGATATACTAAGGAAGAAATGTAATATCTACGTAAGTGCAAAAATTTTTTCTCATTGGGTCAATTATATAATGCTTTTCCAGTGAATTTAAGACCCAGTGATGCTCCTTTTCTTTTTCTGAAAGTAATAAATGATTTAGCGGAAAACCCGCTAAATGCTAACAAAGTGAACACTCCAGTTATGTAAAGCTCAGGGTTAGGGGATTAGGGGGAGGGATGTACGTTCCAGGCATTCGGAATGAAGCATGAATACAAGGTGCTGATTTTGCTCTGCGCTGCTCCCAGTGTGGGTTAGAAACAGTACGAGTTGACCATACAACACTTAGGGCTTTCCAGCTGAGATGGCTCAATGTGTATCCAGTCCCCAGAAAACTAATCGCGGTGCAGCATATGTATTGGGATGGAGAAGAATGTAACTAGAGCTGTGCCTTTCTGCTATTTCTTTTCAGAGGATGCAGTTGTAAGCTTTGCCATCTGGCAAGTGTCAAAGCAGATCTCCGTCTTCTTTAGCATTCTCTAAGGTTGGGTCTTAGGGAAGCTATTCAGGGAGCCAAAACCTGCCTCTTGAGAACCTCACTAACCCTGCCTCATCAAACAGAAGGTGGATATATACCCTAAATCTGACTGAAGAGGAGATGGGGGAGTGAAAGAATAGCAGGACTAAGCTCATGGTATGCAGACTTCCCAACAGGATAAATATAAACAGTATCCAGTACTGGGTGTCTCACCCCTATGCTTTTTTACTACCTATTTTTTATAATTTTTTTACTACCTATTTTTTATAATTGCATGTGTGCAAAAGGCATCCTGTCTGTGTCCTTTCTTTTTGTTATTGACTATTGACAGGTACCTGAGCAGATGAATGTATTGGGTTTATGTGGCAAGGTTTTGGGAGCAGGGGGACTGCAGGGGTAGCCTCTGTGAGCAGAGCCAAGCAACAGCGCCATGTCAGAGCAGAGCCAGCTCCAGCTGCTCCAGAGGGACTTGCCACTGGCCAGAGCCAAGC